GCAATATAAAACAGACTAAAACAATGTTGGTATGGCAGGGGAAGGTCCCCACCCAATTCCTGCCACTATCTCTTTCCTAACCAACTTAAGGGGAAGGGAAAGGAGGATATATTTGTAAATGTCCTGGCCCCGGGACACAAACCCACTAAAAGAGTGAGGTTTAATCATTAGATTATAGAACAATTAGAACACACCAACAGAGCTCTTATATAACAGTGGATTACAGATGAGGAGCTGCAAGGCATAGACTCTATTTAAAAAGGAGCTCTTAAGTACATATATAATGGCATAAATTGACGTGAACATACTTTATATACAGAGATACGAAAAAATGTGCTCTATATGTGTAATAAGTATTGTAATGAATTCTACAGTTGTCATGTATTTAAAAAATAATAAAATCAATGATAAAAAAAGATTAAATGGAAAAAAAAAGGAGCTCTTGAGGAAATCCAAAGGCAGTAGGGGAGAAAAACAACGTTGTGAGAAAAATTTATAGCTTCTAGCATTGACACTTACAACATTATAAACAGCCCAACTTTTAGCAAAATTAATATAAAACCTTACACAAAAGGCCCATTTACCTTAGTTCTTATTACCTGATATATTTTGGCTTGCAACAAAGAATCAGAAGTCACATTAAAAGGCAAGGAACAACAGTCTGAAGGGACAAAGAAAGAGTAAAAGCAGACTTGGATGTGACAGTTTTTGAAAACCAGATGGGGAATTTAAAATAACCACGATTAGTAAATTAAGAACTCTAGTGGGGAAAGTAGACAATATGTTAAGAAAAAATGGATAATGTAAGCAGAGATGGAGATTATAAGAAATAATGATGATTTTCTACAGAGAAAATGAAGAATAACTTTGATAGACCCATCAGTATCCCAAACATGGCCGGGGGGTAGGGCGAGGGGGGATAAAATCAGTTAACCTGAAAATATATCATTTTGAGGCTACCCAAACTAAAATACCAATAGGAAGAAAGAAAGAAAGAAAGAAATGAATGAATAAATATCTGAAACCTGTGGTACAATTTCAAGTTTATAACATGCACAATTCGAAAACTTAAATTAAAAAGAGAAAAGGCAGAATAAATATTTAAAGAAATAGTGTCCAAGAATTTTCCCCAATTAATGAGAGACACCAAAGCACATATCCAGGAAGCTTGGAGAACACCAAGCAGCATAAAAAGAATTCTATACTCAGGTATACCATAGTGAAACTGCTGAAAACCAAATATAGGGAGAAAATCTTTTAAGAGCCAGGAAAAAAACAAAACAAAACAAAAAAACAACAACTCACACTACTAATCAGAGAACAACAAGAATAAGAATTATGCTGACTTCTCATAAGCAACCATGTAAACAAGAAGAGAATGGAGTGAAATATTTAAAATATTGAAAGAAAGTCACTGCCAATATAGAATTCTATATCCAGTAAAATTTTCCATCAAATTCTAAGAAGAAAGCAAGCTTTCTACAAAGAACAAAACCAGAGATTTTATAACAGTAAACCTGCTCTGCAAGAAATATTAAAATAAGTTGTTCAGCCAGGCATTGTGGTGCATGTCTGTAATTCCAGTGACTCAGGAGGCTGAGGCTAGAAGACTGCAAGTTCAAAGCCAGTCTCAGATTTTTTTAGTGAGGCCCTCAGCAACTTAGCAAAATCCTGTTTCAAAAACAAAAACAAAGGGGTAGGGATGTGGCTCAGTGGTCAAGTGCCCCTGGGTTAAACTAAAAAGCTTTTTAATAGAACAAGGAAACAATCAAGAATATGGAGAGCCTACAGAATGGGAGAAAATCTTTGCCACCTGCACATTAGAGCATTAATCTCCTATAAAGAATTCAAAAAACTTAACACACACACATGCACACACACAACCCCCCCCCCCCCAAAAAAAAAAAAAAAAACCCAAACAAAACAACAACAAAAAACCAGATAACCTAATCAATAAATGGGCAAAGGAAGTGAACAGGCATTTCACAGAATAAGAAATACAATTGGTCAACAAATATATGAAAAAATGTTCAACATCTCTAGCAGTTAGAGAAATACAAATTTCACTTCACTCCAGTCAGAATGGCAATTATCAAGACCATAAGTAACAATTAATATTGGTGAGAATGTGGGGAAAAAGGTACACTCACACATTGCTACTGGGACTGCAAATTGGTGAAACTAGTATGGAGATCCTTCAGAAAACTTGGAATGGAATTACCACTTGACCCATTATCCCATTCCTTGGTATGCAAAGTACTTAACATCAGCATACCATAATGATACAGCCATATCAATGTTCATAGCAGCTCAATTCCCCATAGCTAAACTATGGAACCAAACTAAGTACCTTTCAACAGATGAATGGATAAAAAAAATGTGGTATGTATACACAATGAAATATTACTCAGCCATAAAGAGAAATGAAATTATGGTATTTTCCAGTAAATAGATGAAACTGGAGACTATCATGCAAAGTGAAATAAGCCAATCCCCCCAAAACTAAAGGCTGAATGTTCTCTGATATGCAGATGCTAACTCGCCATAAGAAGGGGATAGAGAAGAATAGAAGTTCATAGGATTAGACAAAAGAGAATAAAGGGAAGGGAGGGGAAATGTTCATATATGAATATATGACCAATGTAATTGTACATCATGTATAAGCAGAATTATGGGAAATTGTACCCCATATATGTATTATATGTTAAAATACATTATACTGTCATGTATAAAAAAAAGAACAAATAAATTTTAAAACTCCCAGCATAAATAAATAAATAGATAGATAAATAGATAAGTAAATAATTTCATCAGGAAGAAGGAAATGATGTAGGTTAGAGGCTCAGGTCTATATTAAGAAGGGAAGAAGAACATTGGTGAGGAATAAATGAAAGTAAAATAAAACTTTTCATTTTTATTATTCTTAACTAATTTAATAGGTCTCTGTTCAAAGGAGCAATGGTACAAATGTCCTGTGTGATGATAAAGACAAGTGCAGGGGATGAAAGCAACATCATCAGGGATGAGAAGGGGCAGGGTGCTCTGTTAGTAGGTGTCTGTGTTACCATGAATCATAACATTATTTGAATGTGGATTCATATTAATTATAAATGTGTACTTCAAACTTGGGACAAATAATGAAAACATTTTGAAAGCAATATAACATGTTAAGAGGAAAGAAAATGAAATACAAAATGCTCCAAGAAAAGGCAGGAAAAGCGGGGGGTGGGGGGAGAAACAAAGAACAAATGTAATGAACAGGAAACATGGCAACTATTAATGAAACTATATAAATAATCATGTTAAATGTGATGGTATAAATACACCAGTCAAAAGGCAGATTGTGAGAGTGGATAAAAAAATTAGATATAAGTATATACTGTTTATAAGAAACCCATTTAAATATAAAAACACACTTAGGTTGACTCTAATCAAAAGAAAGCTGGAGAAACTATATTGATTTCAGGCAAAGTAGAATTGAGAGCAAGGAAAAGTACAGTGATGGAGAAGGGCATTACATAAAAGGGGAAAAATTTCCCCCAAATACGTAATAATCCTTAGTATATGTGCACCAAAAAAACAGAGCATCCAAATATGTGAGGCAAAAACTGATAGAATACAAGAAGAAATAAGCAAATACTCTATCACAATTGGAGACTTCAACACTCTTCTTTCAATAACTGATAAATCAAGTAGGCAAAAAAAAAAAAAAAAATCAATCTGGATATAGTTGCCCTTAACAGCACTATCAATCAACTTGATACAATTGACATTTAGGAAAACACTCCATCCAACAACTACAGAATATACATTGTTCTCAAGCTAAATGAAACATTCACTGAAGTGTACTGTATACAGTACACATGGTCTGACTTGTATATGCTCTTGTTTAAAAACAATTATTGGGCTGGGTGTATAGTTCAGTGGTAGAGTATTTGTTTAACATGCATAAGACTCTTGGTTTGATCCCAGCAGCCCACCACCATATACAGTGTATCAAGATACAATTCATATACCAAAAAATTTACCATCTTAAAGTGTACAATTCAGTAGTTTTTAGTATATTTACAAAGTTGTGAAACTATCACTACTATCTAATTTTAGAACACTTCTAGTACTCCCCCCCGCCCCCCAAACTACTGTGCCGTTTCACAGTCATGCCTTGTCTTTTCTCCCTTAAATCTACTTTCTATCTTGATCAATTTGCCTGTTTTGGACATTTTGGTTTAAGTGAGATCATATAACATGTGGCCTTTTTGTCTAGACACTTTCACTTAGCATGATAATTTCAAAGTTTGTTAACAAACTTTATCAGTACTTCACTGCTTTTCATGGCTGTTTTGTATTCCATTGTAGGATAGACCACATTTTATTTATCTACTTATCTGTTAGCACACATTCAAATCTTTTCATTGTTTTGAACATTATGATGCTGCTGCTGCTATGAACACTCGCGTATACATTTCTTTGAAGACATAGGTCTTCAATTCTTTTGGATTGATATCTAGCAGTGAAACTGCGAATCATCTGGTAATTCTGTTTACCATTTTCAGGAACTGTCAGACTCTTTTTCCAAGTGGCTGCACCATTTTACATTCTCACCAACAATGTACGAGGGTCCAATTGCTCCACATCCACACCAATTGTTATTACCTTTTATTTTAATCATCCTAATGAGTGTAAGAGTACTCTTGGGTTTTGATTTGTACTTTTCTGATGATTTGGAATTCAATTTGCCACTCTGACTTTACAGAAGGCTGTGGGTGACAGAACCTAGAAATGAGTTGTAAAGGCTCTCTCTGATGACTTCTGTAGAATGAGCTCTTTCTGGAAATCTCTGTTTCAGACAGCAGTTTTTTCCCAATGACAAAGACCACTATATTCTAACTACAAAGGAGAATAAGATTGTCCTGCCTCTGCCTCTAAGAATATGTTCCTCTCAGGATACCATGTTAATGGTAGTGAATACACACTTGGATTGCATTTGCAGCTAAGCTCACCTGCTGGTGGCCAAGCCTTTATGTATCCTGTGCAGTGGACCACTGCATACTGGGCTTCTCCTTCTTTTACAGGGCCAAGGCCATTCCTAAAGAAAGAACATTTGTGAAATTATTGTTAACACATGTGAGTGAGGCAAGGGTGTCAATGACTGCTTTGGCATCTAAGCTATTGGGTTCCCTTGACTATCTTTATGACGTTGAATCTCAACTTCCCACCACCCTCTTTTCCCTCCTTCTGTGTGGTATGACAGTTCCAAATGAATTCCACCAACTCCCACTTCACATTTCAGCCACTGTCTCTTGGTCCTCTCTATACTCAGACCTCTTTTAAAGCCGGGTTACTCCTCAGCTTAGGGTATTGAAGCTATCTGCCAGAACAACCTCAAAATATACATCAGAAAGGGATACTGACCTGAATCTTTTCCTCATGGTGGTTATTCTGTTAAGAGGAAGGTGGTCCAAAGGAGCATTTCCACACCTAAGATTTGATAAATGTGTTAGAATGAGTGAAGACCCAAATACGTTTTTAAAGCATATAATGCTGCTGTCAAATACATGGCCCTCAATTGACACTTATATATTTACTCAGATGAAACCTGTGACCAATTTCCTTCCAAAGTGGAGAAGCAGGCTAGCATGCCTTTGGATTTTTGATTGTCACCAGAGGAAGGAGAGTGTGACTCACTTTGCAATATACATGGAAAGAGTTTCAGGGCCCAGCCCAGAGCTGGAAACCTGTAAAAAGACTCTTGGAGAAACACAGCCACGCTAAGTTCCACCAGATCACTGCAGTGGAACCGGGAGGCTTCAAGGAAAATGAGAGAAGTGGGTGTTGACAGTAGCAGTGTCTCTTTAGCCCTGAGCAGACACAGCAACTGGAAACAGATGTTGCCAGTTGATGAACAGTAGCATCTTCTCAGGCTTTAGCATCACAGCTGCAGAAACTCTCCCTCCTTCCCTGTAATGTTTTGGCTCTAACTACACAGCTGGAAGCCTGCTGAGGCAGGGGTGGGTGAGAGCGAGGGGCCAACAGGTATAGTAGCATCAGGTCTTTCTATGGGTCCCTGACTGAGAGCCAGGAGATGTGAAGCATCACACTGCCCACTCTGGTAGGTCATTTCCTGCCTCCCTTCTCTATAATCCTCTCAATATCTAGGCATCAAACATCCAAGGCCTGGACTGTGGCCAGGTTCTGACCACTGCTTGGCATACTCACTCAATACATGCACTTCCACTTCCCAACCACACGGCAATTAACATCCTGATGTCTTAATTTTTAACATAGCAAAGATGAGAGCCCAATTATACTCTGAGACCTTGGACAGCTGCCAGAATTAATGTGGCTTTCACAGCAGGATCAATCCATGACAGTGCTGCCCAGGGATGCCAGCATGGTCCTCTGCCCTTTACTGGTAGACTTTGCCCTGTGTCTTGCTGAAATTAAGTTGTTTTATTTGGAGGAGAAATTATACTTTCAGAAAACAGCAATACAGCCTGCTTCTCAGGTCCATCTAGGCAGTATAGCCTGGCACTTCAAAAAGCACCCAGAGGCATGCCAGGGCAGGCAGGGGACTGTAGGAATCTGGTTGAAAGGACATTGGTAATGGCATTACGGGCTACTAAGACAAATGGCACACTATGGCACTTCCAAGCAATTAATTCAGAAGGGCATTGCTTGGATGATGCATTGAAGATTTATATTTCTAGCTGTGTGTGATGGCACAGGACTGAAATTCCAGTCATTCAGGAAGCTGAGGAAGGAGGATCACAAGTTTGAGGCCAGATCAGCAACTTGGCAAGACCCTTGGCAACTTAGCAAGACAATATCTGAAAATAAAAAGTAAAAAGGGTTGGGGAGGTAGCTCAGTGGTAGTGTCTCTGGATTCAATCCCCAGTACAAAAAATAGAGAAACTACTTAATTCTTTTAAAGCATCTATCATATGGAACTTCATGGTACCCACCAAATGTGCAAGTGGCAAGTCCTGGTTCCAGCAGCAAAGAATTGGATAAGAGTGACATTAGTGAGGGCTCCATGGTGCCAGACCTGAGAACTAGAATATCCCCAGGGTCAGGCAGCTTGATGGGGAGGATGGGTGCTCAGATTGTGCAGGGATGAGGGGGGGTAACCCAGGATGGGTGTAGAATCAGGCAGTCTTGTCAGAAGAGGTGCTAAGGAAGAGCCTGCTTATGAGATCATGTACCAGGGATGGCTGGGTAGGTGCCTACTCTGGAGGAGGCAGCCAAGATCAGCCTTGCTCACCTGCTTACATCTCCAGCTCCTGCTGTTTCTCCTTCTATTATTTAGAACTCATTGGCAGAATTTGGCAGTCTTTCTCTAGAAACTTCCTTGGCCCTCTTTTGTCCCCAACCTGCCTCAGTGCCCCAAGTCTCCTTTGTGGGCTCTCCTTTACCTCCCTGGTGTAGGAGTGCACAGGAACAGTCCCCTGATCTCCTGTCGACACACACTTTCCAGGTGACCTCATGCCATTTTATTCTTGTGGCTTCCAATATCATCTCAAAAATCCCCAAGCACATTATCTTCAGCTCCTCCTTTGGATTCCAGAATTCATGTCCAACTGCCTAGTCATCTTCTCCATTTAGCTGTCTGACATGCATCTTCATCTTTCAAGGGCTGACATTTGCCCTCTATCCAAAACCAGCTCCCCTAACTGTCTCTCCCATCTTAGTAAATGACAGCTCCATTTTTCCACTTGGCAGGTAAACATTTCAGACTTCTCTCATATTCTCATAATTTACCCGCAGCCTGGCTTTATCTTTAAAATATGTTCAAAGCTGAGCACTGCTTACTACAATTACTATTCTCAACTGAATCATTACAGTAGTCTCTGCTTCTAGCCTTTTCCCCTGCAGGCTTATTCTCCACACAAAGCCAGAGCAATTTTTAAAATGTCATTCAGAACATTTGACTCTTATACTCAAACTCTAATAACCTCCCATCTCATTTAGAGTCAAAGCTAAAATCTTTTGAGATCAACATGACCTAACATCTGCCATCTCTCACCATGACTCTCCCCTATTACCTACTTCTGACATAGTAATCTCCTTAGTGTTCCTTGAACACGCAAGAATAATCTAGCTTCAGTGTGTTTGCACGGGCTTAGCCCTCTATCAGTTGTCCTCTTTGCCAGATATTCCATGTCTTATTCATTCACTTTCTTTGGGTCCCTACTCAAATGTTACCTGATCAATAAGGCCTGTCTCTACTCACCCTATACAACAGGTAGACCAACAAGGCCTACTATTTCCACTCCCCAAATTTGCCTTTTTTCTTCCATTATGCTGATGGTGTTTTTTACCACCACTGACACATATACTAACATGGTTCTTTTGTCTATTGGGTACATTCCCATGAAAATAAGTATTAAGCAGGTCCGTATGCTTTAGTTAACACTGGCTTCCCATACCATGGGAAGCCCCAGCATAGGGTGTCCCTCTGCATAAATTTGTTGGCTGAATGAATGAATGAATGAATGGCATCAGCATCACACTCATTAATTATAAGTAATCTAGAGATGACTTATGCATGAGAGGATACATGCAGATTAAATGCAAATACTATATATGGTATTTGAAATATGGGTCTTGAGTTCTGTGGATTATGGTATTGGTAAGTGGTCCTGGAACCAACTGCCATGAACATGAGGGATAACTGCATGTACAGAACATTCTGAAAGATGTCAAAGAGGCGCAAAGAGGTATAAATCAAAGCTTTTGGCTTCAGGACATATAACTGATTTATGAAGCTAAGATATTTAAACATAGAGTATCAATCAACAATTTGACAGATATATTAGAGATCAATAAAACATGAATTGTCACAGGAGATATAAGAGATACTGGGGAGTTGATGGTTTTAATACACATGTTGAGAAATATGGAACCTTGGAGAGGCTGGATTTGAGAAGGATCATGAAGAATGGGTAGAAAGTTAAAACATACAGGCAAGAGGGGTCACGAATCTAAGAAGAGGCAGAAGATAGTAAAAAACCAGACAAAGAGGGATGCAACACAGATCAGGGAGTCTGTATATTCCTGGGCTCAGGAGGAGAAGATGAAGTCATTGGAAGGAAACCAAATCAGCATGTGTGACCTTTGCAGAATTAATCAAGGGCTTTTTTTTTTTTTTTTTTTTTCCTTTTTGGGACTGGGGATTGAACCTAGGGCTATTTACCACTGCATCACATGCCCAGCCCTTTTTATATTTCATTTTGAGACAGGGTCTCACTAAGTTGCTTAAGTCCTCGCTAAGTTGCTGAGGTTGGCTTTGAACTCACTATCCTCCTGCCTCAGCCTTCCAAGTTGCTGGGATTACAGGTGTGTGACACTGTTCCTGGTGATTAGTCAAGAGTTTTAATGGTAGATCAGAAAGGAGCAAAACCACCACAGTGATAGCCCTCTGTTGCCCCAAACGGACCTCATTCTGCAGATGAAGGAGCGCCGTGAACCCATGCACATCCTCATGGATGACTGCTGCCCTTCCTTCTTGACTGTCCCTGTCTTCAGGTCCAGGATCCGGCCTAAGAGAAAGAGAAGGACATTGGCGTCAGCCTCAGCCTTAGATTGGGAGATGGAGGAGGAGAGGTAGGGAAGAGTGTTCTCCAAAGCTCTGCCAATGAGGACAAGTGGGACTGCACAAATTGTTTGTTTCTTGGAATTCCCAACATTCTTTGGCAGGAAACTCAGAGCGATGAAATCCACATACTTTAAAATGCCTTGTTTTCTTCAGAACAATCTACACTGCGCCATTTCTGCTGTCAGATTCCATAGTCTCAAGTCACTCCAGTTTGGCTGTCTCCTCCATCTCTCCATGGAAGCTCATTTGCCAAGGTCACCAATGACTTCCTCTTTGCTAAATGTAATATGCACTTTCCCAACTGCCTTGCTGAGCTCTACACAACTAACACACTGATCCCTTTCCAAAAATGTTGCCATCTCTTGCCTTCCTGCACAGCACTCTCTGTTCTTTCCCTGTGTGCTCTTTTGCTCTCAACCACCTTTTCTTCTCATACATCAGTACCCTGTACAATTTTATCCACTCCAAGGTTTTGGTGGTCACTTCTGGAGACTGGTGACCCCACGTCTACACCTCTAGCAACAAACATCCATCTCCTTTGTTGGTTAGACCTACACCACTGGAATCTGACTGTATACTTCAAAGGCAGTTTCACCCACTTCTCTAAAACACACCCTGAACATCAGCAATAACACTGCCATCAACATGGAAATTTGAGTCCGAAATCTAGTTGCCTTCACTGAGTATCTTATCTCTCACTGCTGCATACAATCTGTCCCTCCACCTCCCCTGCCTCCATCACCCACCTGTTCCCCTCTCAGAGGAGAAAGTGTTGTATCTCAGGGTATTCTCCACACCCCAGTGGGGTTTTATTCCATTCCCAACCTCTTTCCACTCAGTTATTTCTAGCTTCTCCATTCCCTATTGTGTATTTTCTCCAGTATCTAAACATCATCACATCTCTTTCATTTTAGGGAGAAAAGCAAACATAAATATATGATGACCATGAAATTCCTGCCCTCCTTCTCCATCTGCAGTTAGAGCATTCCATCCAAGTCACCATTGGCACCTCCACTCCTCCCGAAGGCTCAGCTCACTGCAATCTGCCTTCATTCACTACAGTCCTACGGATACTGTCTAGCCTAGGCCACAGGTCTCTCTGTTGTCAAATTTAACAAATACCTTTAAGCTCCTCTCCATCTTGTCTCTCTTCTTGACTTGCCCCTCTTTGGGACACCTTTGAAGGTGATGGTTTCTCTTCCTCAGTTCAGCCCTTGCTGGCCATGGTGTCGGCATTCCCAGAGCCTTAGCCCTTTTCTTTTCCACTGTTTCCCATAAACCCCTGGTAATCCTTGACTGTACTACCTGTACATGTTAATGATAGGGAGATGAGCGTCTCCAGCAGACAAAGGCTTCTCTCCTTTGACCAAAACTGTGGTCAGGCTGCTCCTTGGAACCCCCGTCTGTCTAGGCTTACACTCGGGCTTCCCTCTTTGTACTTATAGAAAGAAGCTGGTTTCAGAAAGATTCTGCTAAGTCAGTGAAATGGTTTGGATGAGTGTTTCCCAAAGGTCCATGTGTCCCCATTATGGCATTATTGTGAGGCAGTGGAGCCTTTAAGAGGTGGAACCTAGTAGGAGGTCCTTGGGTTACTAGGAACATGCCCACAACAGGGATTGTGGGAGCCCAATCTCTTTCTCTTCCTTCTACTTCCTGGCTCAATAACTAGGGGAGCTGGTGTGCTCTACCACGTGCTGCCTGCCCATATGGTCATCCAGCACCCCTACCAGAGGCTCAAAATATGGATCTATGCATTCTTAAACTATAACTTCCAAAACTACAAGTCAAAATAAACCTTTTCTCAGGTTAATTATTTCAGGTATTTTGTTACGATAACAGGAAGTTGTCTAACAGAGTTTGGCAAAAGTCCCTCACCCTTGTTACTGACCACCCTTGATATCTTATCACCTTAGCCTGACTTTATCAAGAATTCTGTTGAGTCAGTTTAGCAAGAATTCTCTCTACCCCTGATGTTTCCTCTTAGTGACCCCACGCTGTTCCTGAATCCCCACTTGTCTTTCCTGGAGTCATAGTCGAGTCTGATCTCTTTACCCAATGGCAAATACCCTATTGCAACAGTTCCTGTACTTTTACCCTGACTCTCTTGAACAGCGTCTTTCTTACCTTTTTTTCTCTTTTAGTACCAGGGATTGGGGTACTGAATCACTGAGCATCTCTAGCCCTTTTTTTAATTTGAGACAAGGTCTCACTGAATTGCTTAGGGCCCTGCTAAGTTAGCTGAGACTTGGTTTGAATTTGTGATCCTTCTTCCTCAGACTCCTGAACTGCTGGATTACAGACAGATGCCAACACGTCCAGCTTACTTATCATTTTAAACAAGCATCATCAATTATTATTATTATTTTTAAAAACACAGATAGACCTCTCTTGGAAGTTTCTATGTGTCTTGGGCATCTCACAGACACTTAAAATCCACATCTCCAATTGTGATGTCTTTCATCACAATTTCTACCTTAGTCACTTGCACCATTACTACTCAGTTGTTTAAGCTTGAAATTATCAGTTAAGAGCATGTATTTTAGTGCTCACCTACCTATATTTATAACCAGCCTCCCTTACTTACTGTGTGATTTTTGGGTAAATTACCTAACATTTCTGTGATACATCTGTAGCATGAAAGAAATAATAGTACTTTCCTTAGATGGTTGTTGTGAGCATTAAATGAATTACAATGTGACTACTATGGATGGCTCAGAGAAAATGCTCTACAAATGTTTATTATATAAAGAACATGAAACACTCACTCTAACATCTGATCTGTCACCAACATTCTGTCAGTATACCTCCCATTCACCTTTGGCCCATGCACTTACTTTCTCTGCATCATGCCTCAGGTTTGTCCTTCTCACTGCTTTTCTGGAAGGATGGCTGCAACAAGGTGGATGTCCCTTCCCAAGGTTTTGCACCCTTCAATTTGACCTCTGCATTGCTACTTATCATGGTCCTATCATTTCTGAGACCTTGGGCACTCAGACTCACTGGTCATTGAGGTTTTCTTCTGCAAAATGTTAGACAGTTTACATGAAAGTGGTTTGCACACAGGAGACAAACATCCACATGGCAGACTTAAAACAAATGGTCATATCACCCTTTCTTGAAAACCTCTCATGTTCTCCACTGATGAGTCCCAGTGAAATCTATCCTGCAGTCTTATATAAAATTATGAAAGCTGGCCTCTGCTCACCCTATACCTCCCTCTCACCAAATGCCTCTTTACTGCTCCACTCAGGCCCAGGCTGCTCCTGTCAACCCATTACTCCCCATGCACTTGCTCCTCTCATATCTCCGGGCCTTCTGGAAGCTCCCTCTGCCCTCAGCAGCCCACTCCCTTTGTTTGTCATTTCACCTCATTCATTATAAATATTCGATCAGCTACTGTAACCTGCTAGGTAATGATTCAAGCATAAAGAAACAGGCAAAAGCAATTACATTCTTTTTTTTTTTTTGGTGTTAGGGATTAAACTCATGGCCTCAGGCATGCCAGGCAAGCACTCTACCAACTGAGCTACATCCCCAGCCCCATTACATTCTAATGGGTAAGAGAAATAACAAAAATAAAGAACAGAATGAAATGGAATAAACTAAAATAGAATAGATTTTTGAAAGGAGGTAAGTGCTATGGACAACAATAAGGTAGAGTAAGTGTGAGAAAGTGACTGGAGACCACCCCTTGTGATACTCAAATGAGTTCCTGTCACTTAAATCAAATGGGCCTTGAAGATACCTCCCCATGCCTGGGTCCCACTGTTCCAAATGGAGAAGGAGGTAAAGGAACAAAGTGTGCAACACAGGGCAGCCACCTCCCTGGTCCACATCCTGCAGCATGCTGTGCTGCCTGGGCCAGCTCTACCACTCTGTCCTAGAATTGTCTGGCACTTGTGGTCCTGGACTGTGCCTCATCAGCCCGCTGTCCTCAGCACTGCAGCACTCCTGAGAGGTGTTTTCCTCATATGTCCCCAGGGCTTGTAGGATGCACAGCACCAAACCAACATCAGCAACCACCATCATACTTACTGCTGATGTGCTCACCATTAACCCAGGTGTGTACTCCAAAACTCTACTCCAACCAGAGGCCAGGAGCTCAGCCTAGAAGGGTCATAGCTTTGCGGAGGAGACCTGAGCTTTGCTGGTCCTATGCTCTCTGTTGCTTCAGGTTTTTGACACCTGTCTGTCTGTCTCACTCACAGACAGTATCTTTTTACAGCCCTTTTAGTGTAAATTGTCACTTGATTTCTCATCTACAGGTTTCAGCTGTGAAGCGGGCCAGTATGAAGGTCTGTCAAATTCCAAAGTGTGCTCTGAAAATAAATCACAGCTGTGTAGCACATGAGTGGTGGAACATGAGGAAATGAAAAAACACATTTCCATGATTTGCTGTCATGACCCTGAGAGACAACTGCTTCAACGTTTATTTCTCTGCAAGCTTCTCTGGTTTCCTTGGGCACAATGAGCCCCATTTCTAGGCTCCTCTGGAATGAAAGCATGCCTGACTTCGTCTACTAGACGTGTTACTGAAAGCTAGTGAGTGAACTGACATATTGGGATGTGAATCAGTCTCTGTCCACAGGTCATAGGGTACTGGACTGACTTATAATGGGGCTCCCAACAGGGAAGCAATCATGGAGACATGGCTGTATTTACACCACCCCTAACCTTCTTTTCTGACTCATAGAAACCTGGGCCTACTTAGAACAATGAGTCTGTATTCCCAGGGCTGTCTCCCTGTGGATCTCTATAGAGGCACAACCAATCTAGGCCAACGCTGATCCTCCCAAGGTCCCTCCTGCATCTCCATCCTTGGGCTTGGGAAAACTCGTTCTTTCATAATCCTGTCTCTGAGATGATCCCACCTGTATCATCCATCCTGTTCTCCTTGTCTGATGCTTAAAACTACCAGCCACCCTGGCCACCTCTTCTTTGGGT